CATGGCTGCGTGCTGCCTGCTGGGTGCCCACACATGCCTAATCCCAGGAAGGGAGGCTGCTGCCTGGAGCCCCCTCCGTCCTGCGTGTCAGGACCCCCTGTGAACATGTGCTTCCCCCCCTTCTCTCTCTCCCTACTGGTGCCTGGTGGGCCTTGCCATCCCTGCAGACAGGACAAATGACGAAGGTGAGTGTGGCGCCGGGCATGCCTCTGAACCAAGCTTCTCACAACTCCCTCCGTGGTTTTTAAAAATAAACCCTGGGCTATGTGGGTGGTAGCGCACTCTTATAATCCCAGCTAATCGGGAAGCAGAAATAGGATCACAGTCTGAGGTTGGCCTTGGACAAAAACATGAGAACCTAAAAAAGAAAAAAAACTGTAAGCAAAAAGGGCTGGGGACATGGCTCAGTTGATAGAGAACCTGCCTAGTAAGCTAAAGGCCCTGAGTTCAAATCCCAGGTTGCCAAAAACACCTCTAGGAAGGTTGGATCGTGCCCAGTATTAGGCCATTGGCATGGGGGATGATGATGAGGCCCCCCAGGACTCCCCCACCGCCCCGGCAGGGGGCATGGAGGGTCTCTGCCCGGCATCTCTACAGGTGCCAGGGAAGCGCCCATGACCTGAAGATGCTGCCAGTTCTCATGCACCAATACTCCAGCCCCTGGCTCCCTGCAAGCCCTGGGCCAGTGTGGCTTCGAGCTGGGGGGTGGGGGGGTGGAGGTCGGGAGGATGAGGTTTGGAGGCAGGGGTTCATTCCCCCAAATTAGACTTAAAGCTAGAGAGGCCTGCCTGGAGGCAGCCTGTGGCTCAACTGGTAGAAAACCTGCTGGGCTGGGCTGGGCTGGACTGGGAAGGTGGCTCAGAGGTAGAGTGCTTGCCTTGCATGCACGAGGCCCTGGGTTTGATTCCTCAGTACCACATAAGCAGAAAAAGCTGGAGTGGCGCTGTGGCTCAAGTGGTAGAGCACTCACCTTCAGCCGAAGAGCTGAGGGAGAGTGCCCAGGCCCAGAGTTCAGGCCTCACCACCACCAAAAACAAAAACAAAAACAAAAAAATCCCGCCCGGCATCGCCAGCCCTGAGTTCAAGCCCAGCACCCCCCACCCCCCAAAAATAACACCTTTGAAAATACCTAAATGAAGAAGGCATGGATGCCCCCCCATGAGGCTAATGCACCCCATTCTTTTCCTCCTCCCTTCCCACTTTCCCGCACTGCTCTCCAGCAACAAGTAAGTCATGCGTTTATTTTTCCTTTCCTGGGGCCACATGGGTATTTCCAGAAGCTGAGAGGAAGGAAAGGAGGAAGGGAGGAAGGGAGGAAGGAAGGGAGGAAGGGAGGGAGGGAGGGAGGGAGGGAGGGAAGGGAAAGGAGGGTGAGAGGGAGGGAAGGAGGGAGGGAGGGAGGGAGGGAGGGAGGGAAGAATAGATTTCGAATTTGAGGCCAACCTGGGCTACACAGCAAGACTGTCTCAAAAAGAGAAAAAATAAACACAAAAGGGAAGGAGTCGGGAGGGCGCCAAGAGGAGGAAAGAGAGGCATAACCCCCTCCCAGTCCTCCCACCACAGCCTGGAGGGTGCTGAGGGGGGCTCTGCTGTCTCCTCCCCTCTGGAGGGCAGTCTTGGGGGAAACTGAATCCCAGGGAGTCTGGACCAGGAAGTGGCAATACCTGTGAGAGTCAGGGGGGTCCAGGGAGCTGGCACCCCCCCTCACCCTCCTGCCCCACCATCTGAAGCACCCCACTGCCCCTGGGGGGGGCGGGGGAGGGATGGGATGTTAACACCGACTCTGCTCTTCTCACCTCTGCCCTGCCTGCGGGCTCCACAGCACTGACACGTGAGTTCGCCCTTCTGGCTTCTCCCCTCTTTTGGGGTGTGTGCGTGTGCGTGCGTGCGTTCGTGTGTGTGTGTGTGTGTGTGCATGTGCATGTGCATGGGTACTGTTTCTGAGCTTTTTTACCCACAGCTGGCACTCTATCACTTGAGCCACAGCTCCATTTCTAGCTTTTTGGTGATTCATTAGAGATGAGTCTCAAGGACTTTCCTGCCCGTGCTGGCTTTGAAACTTGATCCTCTAATCTCAGCCTCCTGAGTAGCTGGGATGACAAGTGTGAGCCACCACACCCAGCTGACACACAAAACTGTGGCATACTACACTTTAACCAGTCCCAAGTGTGCAGGGCAGGCACCTAGGGTGCATGCACGGCTCTGTGAACCCTGACCCACTTAGTGGGGGCTCTGGGCTCCTGAGAAGCCTGGCACTTGGTCGGGCCTGGGTGAAGATCTGCTTGCCATGTCACTAACCTGGCCTGAGCCAACCCCTCAGGCCCTCAGCCCCCTCCCCTGCCTGCCTAGGGGAGACGCCATCTTCTGTCTGGATGTCCAGCGAGGGGCGGGCAGCCAGCTCTTTCCCCAGCAGCTGCAGGGTTTCCTGCAGCCCGGAGTGGCTCTTTCCAATAAAACTTTATTTAAAGCTGGGTCAGGTGGCGGCTCACCCCTGACGTCCTAGCTTCTCATGAGGCTGAGACGAGAGAGGCCAGCCTGACCAGAACAGGCCAGAAGTGGCCCTGTGGCTCAGGGGGTAGAGCACCCGACTTGAGCAAAAACAAAGAATACAATGGGGGGGGGGGTAACAATGCTCAATAGGAAGTGTACTCATTACCTTGCTCATGTAACTGTAACCCTCTGTATAATACCTTTACGATAAAAAATTAAAAAAAAAAAAACAAAGAATAAAGCTCAGGGACAGTGCCTGGCCCCTACCCCCCGGCCCCCCCCCCCCCAACCCATGGCGCCCGCGGGAACCACGGGACCCGGGCAGCGTGGCTCCTGGGATGCCTTGAGCCTGCTGTGCACCCCAGGCCTACGCTTCGTGCCTGGGCTTTGTGCTTAGGAACCCCCTCTCTCGCCACCCCATGTCCTACCTGGCCTCTGTGTCTCGGCCTCCTCTCTCTGACCTGGCATGGGCTGCCTTCCTTCTGGATGAACCAGAGATTCTAGGTGAGTTCCTAACACCCTGCCTGGGGGTCCGGTGCCCCTCCCCTGGCAGTCCCCTCCCTGGCTAGATGTGGGGGGGGGGCCTCTACCCTTTGCACACACTCTTGGTCTGCGGGGGGGGGGGGGCGGGGTGCAGCCAGTGGCTAGCGTTACAGGGCCAGGACTGGCTGGGATAGGAGGGGGCCAGGCTTCAGGGCTGCAGGTTGGGACCACCCGTGTGTGACTGCTCCTGGCCCTTCTCCATTGCAGGTTTGCTGAGCCTTCAGGTGGTGAGTGGTACGTGGCTGTGCACACGCATCTCCTGTGCAGGTGGGAGGGGGGTGCTGGGATGCTTTGCCAGCTCACCAGGCTTGCCTGGTGTCGGGGACAGGAAAGGGGGTTGCAGGAGGGGCGGACACATGTGTGGCCTGGGATGGGAAGGCTTGTGCAAGGGCCCTGAGAGGAAATGCCAGCCACCCCAGTGGTTGGGAAGCATCCACTCCACGCTGTACAGGTGATTTTTGTCTTTTCTTTGTCTTCCTCTTCCCCGCTCCTTCCTCCTCCTCTTCCTTCTCAGAAGAGACAAGCAAGGACTGCAAGGAAGAAGGTGAGGGCTGGTGACAGCCTTTGCGTGGGGGGTGGGGAGTGGACACATTGAGGAAGAGGCTGGGTGTCAAGGTCCCCATCCCAGTGTCCTCCGGTAGGAGCCACAATCCCCAGTATGCCTTCCCCCCAGTTACCCGCCCCCCCCCACACGATGAGCCAGGAGCTCCGCCTACACCAGCAGCTCATCCAGGGGCTCACATTGACCTGTGCCCTTCTTTCCGGTGGAGTGTTTGAAAGAAAACCACACAAACAAGGCTCCCTGTGATTCAGGTGATGGGGGCAGCTCAGGAGAGACGGCACACAGGGCACACAGGGCTGGTGCGTGGCTCAGTGGTAAAGCACCTGCCTGAAAGCATGAGGCCCTGAGTTCTAATTTGGCCAGGAAGAATGGAAGGATGGAAGGAAGGAAGGAGAAAGGAAAGAACAGAGGGGGCGAGGGAACACATCAGTGGGTCTCACTAGTTTTATAAATTACAAACATTAATAACTCTAGAATTGAAAATAGAAAACAGAAATTAAGAATTCCGTTTCTGACAACCTGTATTTCCAGCTACCAGGACAGAGAATATAGTTGAGACCAAAGTGGGTAAAGGCATGAGACAGACAGACACACACACGTGCACACACACACACACACACACACACACACACACACACAAACACGAGAGGCCAGGTGTGTGGCTCAGTGGTTGAGTACCTACCTGGCCACACAAAGCTCTGAGTTCAAATCCCAGTACTGCCCAAAACAGATTCATACCCATGTCAACAACACAAATGCTTACATGCGAGTAAGTTTCTAAACTTACCAAAGTATTCCAAACACTGGAAGTCTCTGCTGGAAGGGAGAACATGGCTTCCTAAATTCCTACCGAGAACATGTCTTCGTCTCTCCTGAGTTTACGTTCACACTGGCAGCGTGATTTTGACCTGGGATTTTATGTGTAAACTGATATGTCTGCCCATGAGTTTCGAGTTTTCTTTTAAAACAGATGATGAAAAGAAGGCTGGGTGGTGGTAGTGGCCCCGCAGTTTAAAATAAGGTGATGGTGATGCCAGTGGCGAGAGGAGAGGTTTGCTTGTCTGGGCCGGGCTGGTGCGGCTGAGCATGGGGCCGCCAGTGCAGACAGTGGGCACAGGCAGGAAGGGCTGGCTTCCAGGAGGAGCGGATGAGCCAGGCCTCACTCCTTCACTTGTCCCCAGCAAATCCAGTGAACCCAGAGGACCCAGCAAACCCAGCACACCCAGTAGACCCAGTGAACCCAGCAGATCCAGTGAACCCAGCGAACCCAATAAATTCAGTGAATCCAGTGAACCCAGTGTACCCAGTGAACCCAGTGTACCCAGCAAACCCAGTGTACCCAGCGAACCCAGTGTACCCAGCGAACCCAGTGTACCCAGCAAACCCAGTGTACCCAGCAAATCCAGAGAACCCAGTGCATCCAGTGAGGATTGTGCCAGCCACCATCCAGCCCCTGAGATCCAGCCGGAGGCGGCCTGGGTGGAACTTCCTGAGGTGTGCCTACATGATGGTCACCTTCATCTTCGTGTCCTACAACAGAGGGGACTGGGTAAGGCCTCTAAGCCAGGACACCATGGATGCTGGGCGGAGGGGAGTTAGAGAGAGGAAGGAGTCACAGGCTGGACATCACTGGCTCACGCCTGTCATCCTCGCTACCCAAGAGGCTGAGATCTGAGAATCGAGGTTTGAAGCCAGCCTGGGCAGGAAAATCTGTGAGACTCTTTTTTTTTTTTTCTGTCATGGGTCCTAACTCTGGGCCTGGGTGCTGTCCCCAGCTCTTCAGCTCAAGGCGAGCATTCTACCACTTGAGCCACAGCGCCACTTCCGGCTTTTTCTGTTTATGTGGTGCTGAGGAATTGAACCCAGGGCCTCATGCATTCAAGGCAAGCACTCTACCACTGAGCCACCTTCCCAGCCCCTGTGAGACTCTTATCTCCAATAAACCACCAGAAAACTGGAAGTGGCGCTGTGGCTCAAGTGGTAGAGTGCTGGCCTTCAGGGCAAAAAAGCTCAGGGATAGTGCCCAGGCCCTGAGTTCAAGCCCCAGGACCTGCCCATGCACACACACATACTGCACGAACACACAGGTGTCACAGAAGCCACTTATGGGGACAGAGAACCTGAAAATGAGAGGTGGGCATAGACCGGGGTGGCTGAGGTAGGACAGGGCAGTTAGACAGTATTCCACAGCAGGGAGGAGGGCAGGGGGAAGGAGGAAGATGGGGGACAATGGGGGAAAGGAAGCTCACTGTGTCTTCCTCTTGTCCTCCCAGTGCTACTGCCACTATTGTAGCCTAGAGCTGGACTTCAGGTATGGTGCAGCGGAAGGGCCAGGCTTCCCGCCTGTGGCCCCATGGGGCGGTCCACTCCCAATACTGCGAGTTTATCACTGTAAACTTCAAGCTGCTTCCTGTCCTGAGCAACAAATGTGGGGGTTGCCAGGTGCCGGTGGCTCAGGTCTGTCATCCTAGCTACTCAGGAGGCTGAGATCTGAGGATGATGGTTCAAAGCCAGCTAGCAGGAAAGTCCAAGACTTTCTTATCTGCAATGAACCAGAAAGACTGCCCCGCCACCCCAGGGCTCACGTACACAGAGCACCCGGTTGAAGTGGAGAGTAGCTTCCTCTAGTGGAGGGGGGGGGGGGCGGAACTGAGGCATCACACCTTGAACAAGATGCTGAGACTGGTGTGTGTGGGACGAGAGGTGGGGGTGAATGTGGGCTCCAGGGGTGGGCGGGCAAGGAGTTGGAGAATGCATAATGTGAAGAAATGCACACACATTTCTTTCTGTTCTTTCCTCCCTCAGACGTGACCCCTGCTGTGCTTTCTGAGGACCCCCACCTTCCCGTGTCCCCAGAGAGCTGTGGCCCTGAGTGGAGGGTGACAGGGAGCATGACCTGCCCCCCGTCCTACCTCCTGCATGGCGGGCAGGGAGAAGCCATCTGTCCTCATAATCATCTCTTCCCCCCCACCCCATCTCCATCCCGCTCTGCTGCTGACATTAAATTCATGCTCCATGAATGCCCGAGTGCCTGGTCTTTCTATTCAGCAGAGTGGCAGGGTTGCCAAGTGCTGGACGCCGTCCCGCCCTGGTGGCAGGGCCAGCAGCTCTGGAATGTGTGCGCCTCACATGTGGGAAGTCGGAGCTCAGCCAGGTCTGTCTCTATTCTCTGGCGTCGATGTTGGGGGCCAGCACTGAGGACATAAAAGTAGAGACCTGGCTGTCCTGGAGTGGGCCATCTCAGCTCTTCAGCCCTGCAGTGTGTGTGTGTTGGTCCTGAGGCTTGAACTCAGAGTGTGGGTGCTGTCACTGAACTTTTTTTCCACTCAAAGTGAGTGCTCCACTGCTTAAGCCACAATTCCACTTCCAGCTTTTTGGTGGTTAACTGGAGATTAGAGTCTTACGGACTTTTCTGCCTGGGCTGGCTTTGAACCAGCATCCTCCGATGTCAGCCTTGGAGTAGCTGGGATTGCAGGTGTGAGCCACCAGTGCCCGACATTATTAAACAAATGAAAGTGTAGAAGCAGCCATAACTCTGAGCCCCTGGGGTTCTTCCTTCCTTCAACTCCAGACAGGAATACCACGGGGCCTGCACACCCAGACTCCTGGGTTCCAGTTCCACAGGCCACACAGGCCTGAGCCCAAAATGAACTGGTGTGCTTTCCTGTGTGTGTGCAGCTCTTACCCACCCCCCCCCCCTTCCCTAGAGACTCTGGTTGCACACCCTCTCCTCCCCGGGCACCTGGGTGCCCACCCTGTGGTAAATGCCTCAGTGTCTTGCCTTAGAAAGCTCATGGGTCAGGTTAGGCATTGTGGTTCATGCCTTGTAATCCCAGACGGTCAGGAAGCAGAGATGGGAGGATGGAGGGTGAAGGCCAGGCCAAGTCATCTAAAGGGCAAGAGGGCTGGGGGCCTGGCTTCAGTGGAGAGCACTGGCCTGAGATCAAACCCCACACCACCCACCCCAGATCACCCCCACCAAGCCACCCATCACACCACACACACCAAGCCACACCTACCCAGACCACACCCATCAGGCCACACATCACACCCACCCCAGACCACTCCCACACCCACCCTACCCCACCCCATACACACCACACACACCACACACAAAGGGTCTTGGGCAAAGAACGGCCCCTAGGTGGTCAGGCAGATCCTAGCCAAGGCCCTCACACCCCTTCGCTTCCGGTTAGGGGCGTGGCGGCTCGGGTCGCGCTGGCTGCTGGGAGTGGTAGGCCGAGTTCGCTCCGCCCACACGCGCCACGAGCCAGTCAAACTCCACAGAGCCCCGGTCGCGGGCCCTTCGGACGGGAACATGCCGCATGGTTGCCGAAGGCTGCGGCTCCGGGTCTGCCTCCGGCCGAACCGCCCGGGAAGGCGCCTTCGCGCGGGAGCGCGTCCGGGCTGTCGGCAGCCAGGCCGAATAACGGCGCGAGGCCCTTGTGCGCGGGCGGGCGCAGGGGCGTGCGGGGCCTCGTGCGGGGGCTCAGGCTCCGATTGGGTGAGCGTGCTGTGGGTGGGTGGGTGGCGTGACCTTGCGCTTCCGGGAAAGCCCTGGGGGCGGGACCGTGCCTGCCTACGTGACGTATTGCGTATGAGGGGCGTGGCCCTCGCGGAGCTCCGGGGTCTCGGAGACCAGTGCGCAGGCGCGGGGGTCGTGGGTTGCACTGTGGAGGCCGGGTGGTGGCGCAGCTGCGGCCGGAGGTGTTGCGTGGATCTGCCTCGCGGGGACGCAGGTGACGGGGACAGGGGGCGCGTGGCTACGCGGGGCCGGCGGGCCCCGGGTTGGTTAGGTGGTCGGTGCGTGGGCACAGTGACGCCCGTCAGGCCGCCCGCGGCTCGCGTCCGGGGCCCTGTGCAGGCTGGCCGGCCCGGAAGGCGGTGCGGGGCTGCGGCTCCAGATTTTCTGTGGCCGGAGCTGCTCAGGTGGACGGGAGGTGAAGTGGTCCGCACCTGCTCCGGGGAGGGGCTGGGGGGGGGTCGGCGGGACGGTAAGACGTCACCCGTGAGACGTCATCGCTGACCGACGTCATCCGGAAGAGAGGACAGCAGACGCCCCCCTCCCCCCGCCCCCGGAAAGCCTGAGCGTCGGAGACCCGCGGGCAGGGGGTCCTGGAGCTGGGGTGTCCATCCCAGACCCCCAGCCAAGCTCCTGCCTCACCTGGATGCGTAGTGTGCCTGAGCAGGAAAGGGGCCCAGCCTGGCCTGGCCTCTAACCCCGGGTCGTGCCCTTCTAGCGGGGCGCCCTGGGGGTGCGGATTGCAGCACCCCTCGACTACCCGCCCGCCTGTTCGGTCACCCTGCCTGCTAGCCGGAGCAGTACCCGCGCATGCACCCTCAGCTTGCCCTGCTCCTCCTCCAGCGGCCCTCAGGGTCCCCCTGAACCTTCCCGTCAGGTCCCCTGCCGCAGAAGCTGACTGTGGACCAAGCCCCTGGCCAGAGCCAGCAATGGAAGGTGACTGCGCTGCTGTCCCTTTGTGGCCCGACAGATCGCCAGATTCCTTGGTGCCAGACTGCTCGCGTGAGCCTTCAACACCCGTGAATCCTCCTGGTAATTCACCTTACTGTTGTTTGGTGATTACCCTTCCTTCCTCCCTCTCTCCCTTCCTTTTTGCCTGCCCAAGTCTTGGAGCCTCTTTGTGCTCAAAGCTAGTGCCCTACCACTAAAGCCACAGCGCCACTTCTGGTTTTCTGAGTGGTTTATTGGAGATCAGAGTCTCATGGACTTTCCTGCCCAGGATGGTTTCCAATCTCAGCCTCTTGAGTAACTGGAATGACAGGCGTGAGCAGTTGGTGTCTGGCTGTGATTAGGTGATCACTATTTCTTAAGCACTGCTCTGACCTGCAAGCAGCCAAGCGTAGCTACCACCAGTGGCTCACACCTGTAATCTTAGGAGTGGATTAAGCATCTTGCCTCCATCCTCCCACCCAGTCCACACTGCCCACATGTCTTCTGCATTGTTGAGTTACTGTCTGGTGACCTCTGCTTCACCTTGCCTCCCCCCTTCCAACTTGTTTAATTTAAAGTTGGGCCAGGCACCCATCTGCCTACTCCTTCCCCCAGAAATATATCATCACTCTTTGGACCAGATTGAAGCTCCTCTTTGCATAGCAAGTCCAAACCTACCCAGATCCTTTGCACCTGCTGTATCTACCTGACACCCTCTCCTTCCCACGTTCTTGTGGTTTATGCTCTCACAACAGTCAGACCTCATTGGAAAGAGAAGCCTTCCCCAACCTCCACCCAGTTCCCCAGCCCCCAGGCTGGTCCTTGTTTTCCTTCTTAGTCATAACCCAAGCTATCTCAGCCCCATGTGGCCTGTTTCTCCTGCCTGGATGGCGGGGAGCAGGTACATTCCTGCTGTGAACTCACTGCCTTCCCTAGCCCCCACTTGGATAGCACCATTTCTGTCCCCTGCCAGATGCTTGCCACAGCCTTTGCAGGGTGGTACTGGCTGGGCTCCTTCCCGTCCTGCCAGGCAGGTGCTCCAGATGCCCTGACTTCCTTGGGCACCCTTCCCAAGGGGCCTTGGGGACCCCTCCCAAGGCCAGCTGCTCTCATGATGTTCTTTTCTCCAGCCCGGCCTGCCCGTGCTCCGTCCCCCTGAGTGGAGCGTCAGGAGGACAGGATGGCTGTCATGCGCAGGAAGTCCCGATCCAAGGTGGGTGGCCATTCCCCTGGCTTTGGGAACATCCCGTTCTCATACAGTGGGGCCCATTTGCTCTGCTTCCAGAAACTTCCTGCCCATGGGAGACCAAAGCCACAGAGGCCAAGCCATGAAGTGCACTAGCTTGCTATTCCAGCATGTTCCACCCCCTGGAGATCATCAAACAATTGTCATAGAAACCCCTGGGACGCGCTTCCCCTAGAGAGTTGTGCTTTTAATTCCTTCTTCCTGCCACAGTAAGTCCTCCACAACTGGTCAGCTTAGAACAGCACACCTTTTGTCCTGTACCCAGACGGGCTGCCGTACATCAGGCCCCGAGTGGCTTAACTGGGTCCTCAGCATGGGTCTCCTAGAGCCAGAGTCAAGGCATGGCTGGCTCACGTCTTGTGTGGGAGTAGGTGTTCTTCCAGGTTTGCCAGTTACTCATTTTGGTCTCACATCTCCATCTTCAGGACAGAGACAACAGCCAAGCCAGCCAGCCCAAGACCTCCGTGTGGTCCTTATGTTGTTGATTTTTTTTTTTTTTTTTTTTTGGTCATAGGGCTTGAACTCATGGCTTTTCTGCTCAAGGTTAGCCCCCTACCACTTTGAGCCACAGCACCACTTCTGGTTTTCTGGTGGTCAGTTGGAGATAAGCTTCTCATGGACTTTCCTGCCCGGGCTGGCTTTGAACCATGATCCTCAGATCTCAGCCTCCTGAGTAGCTAGGATTACAGGCGTGAGCAACTAGCACCCATCTTGGTGGTCCCTATTTTAAAGTCTTGTTACATGAGGGTCAGCTGGGGTGTTGCCTCAGTGACACCCGTGAGGCATGCCCATGCCAAATGTGACACTCCTGGGCCCTCTGCAGGGCCTGCTGGGAGCCAGGCTGCCAGGCTGGGCTCACTCCTCTGGTAAGCAGCTATGGCCTGAAGTAAGTCCCCTCACCCCCTGGGCCCTTGTCCCTTCTGCATTGTTGCTGTGACTCCCATTGGCACAAGCCCCTCCAGTCAGGTGCTCAGGAAATACCGGAGATCCAGCTTGCTCTGGTTTTATGCTTCAGAACAGCTTTATGTTTCAGAACAGCCCTGTCACACATGTTACAGGTGAATGCACTGCCCTTGCCTGTCACATGGGTCTCCTGTGTCACCTTCTCCAGGCGGGAGGCATTGCCCATGGTGAGTGGACCTGTGATTGTGCGTTTCAGGCGCCTGTGACGTTTGGAGACTTGGCCGTTCACTTCTCCCGGGAGGAGTGGGAGTGGCTGAGCCCCACACAGAAGGATCTGTACGAAGACGTCATGTTGGAGAACTTCCAGAACCTGGTCTCTCTGGGTAAGGCCCTTCTCCCTGTCCACTCCCACCATCAAGGGAGTGGAAGCCACTCCAGTATGCCTTTCTTTTTAATGGTTCATACCTTTGTCCAGTGTGTCTGCCTTTGACACACTGGACAAGTCGTCCACAAAAAGAACATGGCTGAGTGTCCTCCTCTGTGTCCTTTGCCCCACCATCCGCCTCAGAGCCCAGAAGACCCCGTGCCATTGTCAGCCATCTTCATTTCCCCTGTGCCTCACCCACATCAGGTCCACTAGGCCTCTTTCGTTCACCCTCTGGATTTGCATACTAGGGATTCATACACAGGGGGCTTCTTGTGCTCAAGCATGTGTTTGAGGTTCATTCATGTCATAGCACATACTAGTACTTCATTCCTCTTCATCGCTGAGTACTATTCCATGTGTGCATATAACTGCCCTCGTTTACTCTTTCATTAATTGACGGACATTGGTTTTCCATTCTTAGGAACTGCTGCTGTGAACACTCACACTTTGTGTAGACATTTGTGCACATGTCTCGGGTGTATGAGTGAGAATATGGAAAATATGTAATTTTTTTGAGGACACCCAAGTTTTGAGAGGATTGAAAAGGTAGTGTTTAAGGGAGAATTGTGGGTACCAGTGTGACAGGTGGCACCTAGGGGCAGCTAGGAGAGGGATGGGTTGGTGTTGTTAGGATGTAGAGAAAGGGCCAAAAGTCTGAGTCTGCAGTTTGGGATGGGGATTAGAGAAGTAGGGGTGGGAGTGGGGGGGCTGAGGGGCTGGGGGGTAGGGGTGGAGTGGGTGGGAGATGGGGTGGAGTGGGGGATGGGGGTGGGAGGTGGGGGATGGAGTGGACTGCCTGCCTTGTTTATACCTCTGAGGCAGAAATGAGACCAGTTCTGGGGAGCAGGGGATGAAGCAGCCTGTGGGTGGGTGCGGGGGTACTGCAGGGCCTTCATAGCCCATGCAACACTGCCTGGGAGCTTGGGATTTGGAGATGGTGAGCTTGGCCAACCCGAGTCCCCCACTGTGCTGGGGGCGGGGGTAGAACCCAGTGTTCACCCGGCTGTGAGTCCTTGCGGGCACACAGGCAGCACTTGGGAGGGTCCAGGATGTGGCATGTTGGTTTGTCATACACAGTGTCACCTCAGCTGCCCTCCAGGGCATGTGGGCTCCTCTCATGCCCATGGTGTGTCCTGGTGACACGAGCTTGTCTCAGCTTCTGAGGCACGTAGTCACAGTCAGCCTGGGCTTTGGTGTTGTGCTTCATGCAGGTCTGTGCTGTCGGAGGCCAAATGTGATCACCTTACTGGAGATGGGAAAGGCACCCTGGATGGTGGAGCCGAAACGCTGCCGGGGCCCTGGTGAGTCTAGTCCTTGGGGCTGCAGCCATGCACAGAAGTTCACTTCACACCTCTCAGAGATGGGCCAGCCCCACGGACGGGTTGACATAGCCCTTCCTGGGTCTCGGGAGGGGCGAGCAGCCTGTGGGGCCTTTTTTTTTTTTTTTTTTTGGTCAGTCATGGGGCTTGAATTCTGGGCCTGGGTGCTGTCCCTGCGTTCTTCAGCTCAAGGCCAGTGCTCTACCACTTGAGCCCCAGGGCCACTTCCAGTTTTCTAGTGGTTTTTATTGGAGATAAGAGTCTCACTTTGAATCGTGATCCTCAGATCTCAGCCTCTTGAGTAGCTAGGATTACAGGCATGAGCCACCAGTGCCCCGGTCCTGTGGGGCCTTTTATTAGGGTGCTGATTCCTTCCGTGAGGCCCCACTGGGTGCCATGGGACTACGGGGTTGTGGCAGAGCCAGCTTTGAAGAGCCAGCCTTCTCTGTCCAGATGCTCATGCTCCCTGGTCTCCCATAGGCCCCCCCACCCCCCTTCCAGGGTTTGAACTCAGCCTGCACTCACCATACCACCACAGATCCAGGCCTATATTTTCAGGATTGGGTTTCCAGTCAGTCCAGCCCGCCCTGCCCCAGGGTGTTTGTGGTCTGTGATCCACCTGCTTTAGGCCCTGCATACTTGCTGGGATGATGGATGTGTGCTAGTGAGACCAGTGTTTTTGCTGGGATGGTTTTATTGCCCCAGTCGGAGTCCTGGTGCTCATGCATGATTAACCCCTATTCCCACCTGGAGGCCCAGGAACTGCTCATCTCTCTACATTTGCCTTCTGTGCACGTTTTGTATCACATATATAACAAGTGATAATCTATGGACTTTATGGTGATATAATGTATAAGATTTATTCTTTATTCTAAATACAAACGACTTCGAGCTGCACGACCTCTTCAATTCCAGTTATTAAATACTTGTGCAAAGCCTTTTACATTAGAGCCACCATAATGCACTGAGAGTCCCCGCCCCAGTGGCACTGTTCTTGAGTAGCAGTGATGATGACTGTGCTTTTTCTTGGTTATGTTTCTTTTTGGGGGGGGGGGGGGATCCGGTTGTGGGCTTGAACTCTGGGCCTGGGCGCTGTCCCTCAGCGATTCAGCTCAAGGCCAGCGCTCTACCTCTTGAGCAGCGCCACTTCCGGCTTTTTTTTTTCTGTTTATGTGGTGCTGAGGAATCGAACCTAGGGCCTCATACATGCAAGGCAAGCACTCTACCACTGAGCCACCTTCCCAGCCCTATGTTTCTTTTTTAAGTTGTTGCACACAGCGTTTTGGCCCGCACGTCCGTTGAGGTCAGGGCTTTGCCCCGCGTCCTCCTCCATCCTCTGGCCACCCACCATTCCCAGCACTCAGCTACGCTCTCCCCGCGCGGGGGACAAACCCTGAACTTCTTGGTGTTTTTCAGACTCAGGGTCTCAATGCGTGAGGAGGAAGTTACCACCGGACAGGCGCTGCCTCCGCGGGAAGCTGGGCTCCCTGCTGCCGCCACCACGGCCACCAGAGCCCACCAGGAGTCAGCACGCCAGCCACTGCCTGCCCGCAGGGAAGCCCCGGCCGTGGCCCGCAGGGAAAGGCGTGCCGGGGCATTGGGGCCCTCTTCGGTGCGGGGCCTGCGGGAGGGGCTTCAGCCGGCTCGTTTCCCTGCTGCTCCACCGCGGGTGCCACCGTGGGCAACCTGGCTGGCGGTGTGACACCTGCGGGGCACGCTTCACCCGGAGAACCACCCTTCTCCTGCACGCGAGAGGCCACCGGGGGGCGGCCCCCTCGCGCCCACCGCTCCGTGCCCTCCTCCACCGGACCGCGCCCCTGGGCCTGCGAAGGGTACGCGCGCGGACCCCTGCCGAGGGGCCTGGCAGCCCGCGCATCTCAGAGAATCCCTTCGCGTGCGGGAGGTGTGGGCGGCTTTTCGGGGGCATCTCGGCCCTGGTGCTCCACCAGAGAGCGCATGCCTCTGGAAGGCCGCGCATGTGGGGCCCGCGCAGGACTGGCCCCGGGCGGTCCCCGGCCCTCGCGAGGGTGCACGCCGCAGGGGGGCGAGACAGGGATAGGAGTGCGGGAGTCGCTGCCTGGGCGCCGCACCCCGGGGCCCACGGTGAGACCAGGAAGCGCCTAGAATGTAAGGACTGCGGGAAGGTGTTCTCCAGACCCGCGAACCTGAAGATCCACCGGAACGTCCACTCGGAGGAGAAGCCCTTCAAGTGCACTAAGTGCTGCAAGGCGTTTGGGCGCCAGGCCTTCCTCGTGGAGCACCAGCGGATCCACACCGGGGAGAAGCCATACCAGTGTGAGCAGTGCGGGAAGGCGTTCAGCCACCGCATCTCCCTCTCCCGCCACCGGCGGACCCACACGGAGGACAGGCCCTACGTGTGCGCGAGCTGCGGCAAGGCCTTTGGCCAGCGCGCGCACCTGGCGCAGCACGAGCGCATCCATACCGGGGAGCGGCCCTATGCGTGCCCGGAGTGCGGGAAGGCCTTCGGCCAGCGCACCTCCCTCGTCCTGCACGAGCGCAGCCACACCGGCGAGCGGCCCTACGCGTGCCGCGAGTGCGGGAAGGCCTTCAGCAGCGGCTCCGACCTCATCCGCCACCAGCGGAGCCACTCGGCGGAGAAGCCCTACGCGTGCGGCACCTGTGGCAAGGCCTACAGCCGCAGTTCGTCCCTGGCCCGCCACCAGAGTGCGCACGCAGCAAAGCGGGCCTGAGGCGGGGCGGGCCTGAGGCGGGGCTCTGGGACAGAGCGCGCACGCGCACGCGACGGGCGGGGCGGGCCGGCCGCTGGGTGAGGTTGGAGCCCGAGGCGCGGTGGTGTCGCTTCCTCTCACTCGGTCTGTGACGGACGAGGGCTGCTCTGGGTTCTGCGGAGCAGGGGAGCACGGGTGAGCCGCGGGCACCAGGCGCGCTCGTGGACGTCCTTGAGCGCAGGGCGGGGAGGACTGGCCTTTTTACCTGCGTGCATATGTCTTATATTTACCTAAATAAACGTGTGGCGTGTGATGTGTGGCCTGGACGCTTACGCCACCCCAGAAGTCATCGGCGGGAGCCCCGAGGCCGGGCCGGGCCGGGCCGGGCGGTCGGGTAGCATTGGGATGGCGAGGCGTGCTCGCCGGCGGGCGGTTTTGCCGGCCCCTGCCGGGTCCGCGCCCTCGCCATGGACCCGCAGCCTCCGGAGGCTCGACGCTGCTCCGCGTCTGTGGCCGTCAAGCAGAAGCGTTGGCTGCTCGAGACCCCGAGCGCCTCCCGCCGACGGCCGGTGACCTCCGCGCCCCCTCCTGCCGATGGCCGGTGACCCCCGCACCCTGGCTGTCTGTTCGCCGCACGGGTTAAAGTCAGAGCTCCCGTGGGATGAGCGGCACCGGCTCATATAAGTTTTCCTCAAAAGGCTTCTTTTGCGGGGGCTGGGAAGGTGGCTTAGTGGCTCAGTGGTAGAGTGCTTGCCTTCCATGCATGAAGCCCTGGGTTCGATTCCTCAGCACCACATAAGCAGAAAAGGCCAGAAGTGGCGCTGTGGCTCAAGTAGTAGAGTGCTATTCTTGAACTGAAGAGCTGAGGGACAGTGCCCAGGCCCCACGACCCACAAGAAAAAAGAGTAACTGTGGATCTAGGATTGATTGTGCACACATGTGCGTGCCAGTACTAGGTCTTGAACTCAGGACCTTGGTACCCTCCCTTAGTTTTCTTGTTCAAGGCTAGCTCTCAGCCACTAGATCCACTTCTGGCTTTTTGCCAATTACTTGGAGACAAGCGCTCACAGACTTCCCTGCCCCTGCTGGTTTCAGAAGTCCATCCTCAGACCTCAGCCTCGGGAATAGTGAGGATTATAGGTGTAAACCACCAGCACTTGGCTTTATTTGTTTTCTGCATGCCTCTAAGGGCTAGAGCTTGAGAGTACTTGGGCAGAGTACTCCATCTCGGAGCTCCCGCTCCAGCCCTGTGATCGATATGAGGTGACACCATGTCACCCTCCAAGATGCTGCACCGGTTCTTCCCATAGTTCAGTTTTGGTAAAGAGGATTTCTGTATGTCAGGGCAGGCGTCTCCCAACAAGTCCCTCCTTTGGCGTTGTCCTTGGCAGTTACCTTAATCTGGGAAGGTCAAGCCCTTTCCTAATCTGGTTATGCCCCTCCCCCTTGCTTTGGGCCAGCATTCTTATCTAAAGACCCACCTAAGTGCTTAAGCTTGAATGATAAATCTTTCTTTAGATTCAAAGAGCTCAGAACGTCCTGGGGCCTTCCTAACTCACGTCTTAATTCTTAGTCCTGTTATTCACAGCACTATAGGAAAAAAAACAAACAAACCAAAAAACCTGGGAAGACAAATCCCAAAAACTCCTGTCTCCAAGTAACCAGCAAAAAGCCAGAAGCGATCTAGCGCTGGCCTTAAGCAATAAAGCTAAGCCAGAGGGTGAGGCCCAGAATTGTAGCTCCAGCCCTGGCGTACTCACCAGTCAAGGTGCCCCTTTGTGCTTTCAGATGGGCGAGTTTCTGTGTGCCTGCTTCTTTGTGGTCCTCTGAATGTGGTGTGATCTTATTTTACATTAATATCTGAGTTATTACTGTATGCTAGGCACTCTGCTGAGTAATTTACATGCACTGTTTTTATTTTTTTCCCATTAACTTTTGAGGTAGTACCATTACTGTTCCCATAATATAAATAAGTCTCATTTTTATAAAATGGTAGAGTGAGGACTGGCACCCACGTCTATTTGATGCTGGAATAAGCTGTTGGTTCTGGGTAATCATGCAGACAGTGAGATGGGAAATGACAGGAAGGCCTTGGGAAGCGGCCGGAGCCAGGCCTTTCCTGGGTATGGAACCTTCCAGGGCTTTTGAGGATACGTGCTTCAGCCTAAGAACTCTTGTTGTCAGCTGAGGAGTTTTCTTTTTTTTTTTTTTGGTCCGGTCGTGGGGCCTGAACTCTGGGCCTGGGCGCTGTCCCTCAGCTCTTCAGCTCAAGGCTAGTGCTCTACCACTTGAGCCACAGCGCCACTTCCGGCTTTTTTCTTTTTGCTTATGTGGTGCTGAGGAATCGAACCCAGGGCCTTGAGCATGCAAGGCAAGCGCTCTACCACTGAGCCACCTTCCCAGCCCAAGCTAAGGAGTTTTAATGAGGGGAAAATGATAGTACCAAAATGTGAGTTTGGCTTAAGTGTGGGCAGCTGACAGAGGCAATGGTGAATGCAGGGACACCCGTTCTGTTTGCTTGTTTGTTTTTTTGGTGGTCATGGGGCTTGAACTCTGGGCTTGGGCGCTTTTCCTGCGCTCTTCAGCTCAAGGCGAGCATTCTACTGCTTAAGCCTCAGCACCATTTCCTGTTTTCTAGTGGTTTATTGGAGATGAGAGTCTCACTGACTTTTCTGCCCGGGCTGGCTTTGAACCGTGATCCTCAGATCTCATCCTCCTGAGTAGCTAGGATTACAGGTGTGAGCCACTAGTGCCCGGCCAGGGACACCTGTTCTGAAGCTGTTCCATACTTCCTGTTGAACAGGTGAATGTGTGTTGCACAAAGATGATTAAATGGATTGATGGGTGGGATTCCAGTTAAGAGATAAAGCTCACAGTCCTTGGCAACTGGTTGGATGTAGAGGGCAAGGGAGAGGAGAGGACCAAGAATGACTCCATCGAATGAATTTTCTCATGATGAGCAAGGTGTGCACGCTGCCGGAAAGATTTCCTGCAGTCCTTACATTCGTAAGGTTTTTCTCCAGTGTGGATTCTCTGGTGCAGGGTCAGGGAGCCACTGTAGCTGAAGGCTTTCCCACACACGTTGCATTCATATGGCTTCTCTCCAGTATGGATTCTCTGGTGTTGGGCTAGACCTGCATTCTGGCTAAATGTTTTCCTACATTCTTTGCACATAAAAGGTTTTTCTCCAGTGTGACTTCTCTGATGTTGTGTGAGTGATGAGCTGTTGCTGAAGGCTTTCCCACACTGGGTGCATTCATAGGGCTTCTCCCCGGTGTGGACCCTCTGGTGTTGATCAAGGTATGCGACCTGGCTGAAGGCCTTCCTGCACACGTTGCACTCATATGGTTTCTCTCCTGTGTGAACTCGGTGATGCTGGGCAAGGTGCGCGTACTGGCTGAAGGATTTCTGACATTCCTTACACTCATAGGGCCTCTCCCCAGTATGAATTCTTTGATGCACAATTAGATATCCACGATGGCTAAAGGCTTTTGCACACACATTGCACACATACGGTTTCTCTCCCGTGTGAATTCGCTGATGCTGAGCGAGAAATGAGCCGTTACTAAAGGCCTTTCCGCATTGGATGCATTCGAATGGCCTCTCTCCGGTGTGGACCCGCTGGTGCTGAGTCAGGTGTGCAACCTGGCTGAAGGCCTTTTTACACTCAGTGCACTGGTAAGGTTTCTCTCCAGTGTGAACTCTCTGATGCTGAGCGAGGTGTGCATTCTGGCTGAAGGCCTTCCTACATTCCTTACACTCGTAGGGCTTCTCCCCCGTGTGTGTTCTCTTGTGCTGTGCCAGGTTTGCACTCTGGCTGAAGGATTTCCCACATTCGACACACGCATAGGGCTTCTCTCCAGTGTGGATTCTCTGGTGTAGAGTGAGCGAGGAGCTCTGGTTGAAGACTTTGTCACATTCGGTGCACTTCAGAAGTCTCCTTTCCATACAGATGTTCTTTAGTTTCCTGTCACTGGACCTTTTTCGAGAACTTCTCTTTTGTGGCTGGTGCTTGTGTGCTCTTTGTTTCCTGGGGAAGTGCTGTCGTAGGTCTAGAACTGCACCCTGACAGAATGCTTGCCAAGCTGGATTACGCCCTGTACTTCCATCTTCCCAGAGAATCTCTTTATGAGTGACCATCAACGGGCTAAAATGTACCTCCCGGGTCCTCAGCTTGTGCTGGAACAAGTCCTGCCTGTCACAGCCATCTTTCAAGTTGGGACAATGCAGGCTGTGATGAAGCTGGCTCCTTCCCATTGGGACAACTACCTTAGCGGATTCTTCATAGATGTCTTGCTTTGATGAGAATTCGCTGTTTTTAAGTACGTACTCCCAATCTAAAAGATACCAAGGAAACAATGCCACTTGTATTTATTTGTCATAAGTAACTTCCAGGGACTAGGAATGTGGCTTAGTGGTAGAGTCCTTGCCTAGCACCCATGAAGCCCTGGGTTTGATTCCTTATTACCACATTAACAGAAAAAGTTAAAAGTGGTGCTGTGGCTTAAGTGGTAGAGTGCTAGCCTTGAGCAAAAGAGGCTCAGGGACAGTGGCCAGGCCCTGAGTTCAAATCCAGAACTGGCAAAAAAAAACCCCAAAACTTCCAAAACAAAAATAAGAAAATAGGTAAATTTCACTTCTTAGTTGATCTCAGAAACTACAATGGCATCATGAACAACAACAAAAATAGTTTTTTGAAGGTGCTGGCATTTGAACTCAGAGTCCTATGCTCACTAGATGGGGGCTTTACCACTTGAATCACATCTCCAGCTGTGAAACAAGACTGAACCAAACTGCTTGTACTCACTAATGTAGTCTACATGTGGTCTATGTACCTCTTTCCCATCTAAATCACATTACCTGGTTCTTAGTTTTTTCTCACTTTGTCGCTCAGACTGGTATAATCATGATTTGTTCTCTCCTCTTTTCCCTTTTATCTTCTTTTGGCTTCTTTGCTTTTTTTGGGTTGTGGAGCTTGAATTCAGGGCCTGGCCGCTGTCCCCCCAGCTTTATGGCTCAAGGCTAGCATGTTACCACTTGAACACAGTGCCACTTCTAATTTTCTGGAGGTTAATTAGCATCTCATGGACTTTCCTACTTGGGCTGGCTTTGAACCATGATCCTCAGATCTCAGCCTCCTGAGTAGCTAGGATTACAGGCATGAGCCACCAGTGCCCAACAACGTTGTCTATTTCTGCACAAATGCCTCAGCACTGGTTTTTACTGCTCAATGGCTTAAGATAGGCACTTCACCCAACCACAGCTACCCCTTGGGGTCAGACTTTCTCCAGAGCATCTGTCTGCCAATCCAAT